TCTGAGTCACTGTCAAAGTAGTTTAAAGACGTAGTCAAATATTTTTTGCTCCTCAGAAGAAAACGGCTACGAGGTTGAGCTCACTTTAAAAAATCTCTGTCTGCAGCAAATGAAAAACCAAAAGAGCAGCAGATTGGGTTAGGAGCTTGCAAGTTGCCTAGAGAGAGATGATGCTGTCACTTTGAGATTATTTTGTCCTGTTCTTTTGAAGAGGTGTGTAAGGCAGAGATATCGAGCTGTCTCTAAGACAGCAAACAATTTGTGAGGCCTTGGGGTTTTTTTTTAAAAAGTTGGACCAGTGGAAGCAGCCTGCATATGGCAGCTCTCTCAAACCAGGCTTTCCAGTTTTCATTTAGTTTTTAGGTTTAGTTTTAAGCAGAAGCCTTTGAGGTCTCAAAAGAGTTGGAAGCTTCAGTCAATGTCTCCCAACTGCTACTTTCTCTGACCTTTCTCAATGTTTTTTGCTTCCCAGATTGGAGAGCTGCATGTGGGAATCTGTGTCTGAATTTACCTTTTTGCCAAGGGGTGTGTTTATGGGATGTTACCATATTAGAACAGTTAATTAGTAATAGATTTCTGTATCTGTTATTCGGTTAAGTTTTCCAATAGTTAAGTTATTCTGAATTCCTCTTTCTTTTGTTTGTATTTTAACTACAGTGTTCAAATAAATTGTTTTACTTAATGTCGAGTAGTTTGACCAGTCGCATTTCACCTGGAACAGGGCACTTCACATCCACTTATATAAGACAAAGTTAGGATCTAGGCTGCCTTCTTAAAATATATTGAGAGGGTCTGGCCTCGTCCAGAACAAGAGAGAGAGAGAAAAAGACCCACGTAGAATCTTGCTGCTTTGGTATCTCAAGCTTTTGCTGGTCTACAGACAAAAATAATGTTCAAACACTCAGTGGGTTAGGTGGATTGTCAAATTTCATGTTATATCCAACTGCCTGGTTACACCCAAAATGGCTGTGGATTGTGTAGTTTATAGAATTAGTGGATCATAAATTATGAGCGTAGAAGCCCAAAAGGAGTTGGAGTGGGTGGATGGGTAGAAGATGAAGTTCATTGTGAAGAAGTGTAAGGTGATGAAGTTTGGTAGGAAGAACATGGACAGACAATATAAAAAAAGGAGTATAAGTTTTAAGGAGATTCAAGAGAGCCAGAGCAGATGTGATGGATGAAATGGCCTGTTTTTGGACTGTAAAACTTCTATGATTCTGTAAGGTCTGGACGTAGCCAGAGTGTCATCCTGTACGTGATTGTGTCTCATGGTTACTCTCCAGCTCAGTATCCAGTCGATAGATTGGATACAGGAGTGCAGACTGACAGCCATCTTTTATTGTTATTTCAAGTCAGTGAGATAGGGCTTTAGATTTTTAGAAAAGATTCAATTAGTGGTTTTCAACCATATCTTTCATAAAAAATGGCTGAATGTCAATTTGGATAATGCTCATTTCCTCAATGAACACTACAGTGTACTCAGTCACGGACTCAATCCAACTATTTAATCGCGTTTTACTTTGAATTGCTTGGATTTATTGTGATTGGCTTCAACAAAGTGGTTGTTGATTGAGGCATCACACTTGCTGGAGTTTTGTTCAGCATGTTTGAAGAGTTGGATGTTGATGAGGCAGTATGTTTACATTGAGATGGTTATTTATTGGGGAAACGTGTCTGTATGGAGATTGCTGCTTATTGGGACAGGAACAGATTTGGCAGGTGATTAGGCGTTTTTTACATGTAACAGATTTGGCTGAGGAACAGGGCAGTATACTCCTCACTTCTTTATTACCGCAGTCTTGGTGTTAATGTGCTGATGGCTATTACTCAATCAGCCTACCCTGCTCATACAAACAAAATTAATGTTAAAGTATTAAACTAATTAAAGTCTATGCTCGTTTCCATATTAACAACCATTGTAACCAACACATTTTATGGTGTCGCAAACATTTTTTTTAACAGATACACTGAGCAAGCTGGTAAACAAAATGCTTTACTCATGCTGCTATTCCTTCAGGTGGAAGGAAGATTCTTCCTTTGGACTCTGGTAATTTTTACCAATGTATTTTCCCTCATTTATTTTTCTGGAAAGACCCATTTTGAAAATGCACTAAACGAAGTCTGGATAAAATGATGTTGTCATATTGTTTTTTTGTCTTATTCAGTAATAAAATCAATTAAGTGGACAATCCTGAGTTCTTAGCATCGTTGCAGTAATTGTTGAAAGTTTAAGATCTGCTGTTGGGTATTCTCTCTCATACAGTGTCATAGTCACTCCTGCAAGTGGATGAAGAGTGTAGTTATGTGCTCATTGTACTCAGTTCTAATTGGATGGTGAGAGATAGTAGGAACTGCCGATGCTGGAGAATCTGAGATAACAAGGTGTAGAGCTGGATGAGCACAGCAGGCCAAGCAGCATCAGAGGAGCAGGAAAGCTGA